AGTTTGAAAAACACCCAAAACATTAAATCTGAGTAGTACCCTCTGATAAGTGGTATACAAACAACTTGGGAAAATAAGATAAGGATATAAAAGCCTCCACAATCTAGTAAATGGACACCTCATATAGCACAGACTCCTATGGTTTAATACAATTTTAATTGTCCTTAATTTCCTCACCAGCAAATGTTGACCAGGTCAACATTTTGAGCTCTCTCCTGAGCTGTCTGATATTCTGTTTTCACTGCAATCTCTGATTTGCAGGTTAGTCTGAGCCTATATTCAGGAAACCCTTCTTTAATCTTGTTGGCTCATTTGTGGCTATAGTCTAAAACATAAATAAGACTTCAAGTAAAATGATAGCTTACTCAGATTACACTTTCCCCACCCTTAGTCTAGAAAGATGAGAAAGTTTCCTTTAAAATGCTGTGGGGAAAAAAAAAATAAATTAGAAAGTGATTTGGTTTCCTAGAGCATAAGGAGTTACAGACTATAGCTCCAAAAATACCTCATGGTATCATTAAGGCAGGATTATGTGTCCTGGAATATGTAATAACTGAGCAATAGTTTGCTCTGGGTCACACAAACTCAAGTTAGCTGACTCCAAACCTAATAACCTGATATTAGCCCTATGAATAATACTACAAAGAAATGAGGTCCTATCCACCCTTTTCTGGAACAATGAGTAATTCCAGACAGTGCTTTAGTGAGACTTAGTTGAGTTTAGCAGAGGATTCACTGAGCTTTTGATAAGTGGCATCACATGAAGATCTGTTTAAAAAAGCAGAAGACAAGTATATAGACCTAAAAGGATCCCATACAGTGATGATTTTGTTCATGCATTAAAGACAATACATTTCTACTTTAATAAACCAGAGCATCAAAAATGCTCTTCAATTTTCCTATAAGATGATAATACAGTGCCTGAGGAATGCATTCTACTGATTCTCTGTGTTGTGGTTTATAGAAAACATTTAAATTTAGTGCCAAACTGCATTTAGATTTACTGTCACCACAAAATGTAATTTGTGTATCATTGAAATGCTTCTCTAATAATTCAGTAAGACAGAGTTTGCCACAAGCAGCTAAAGTGCTGAGTTATGAGCTGTCTAGCCTCTTGCTTTCCTCTTTGGAAAGTATTTAAGTTAATGACCTGAAATAGCTTGATCATAATAATAGTGTTAAATACAGTAATTATTATTTATCTCTCTTATTGCTCAAATACCCAACCAACTAACAACACTGGTCTTTTAATGACACGTGCGAAACCCCCAAACACAAAAAGACAGTTATTAATGCAGCTTGTCTAAATTATAAGTCTCCAGGGACAGCTGTAATGTGGGTGTGGTGTGGGATGGCTATGTAGCTTACATGAATGCATGCATTTACACTGTTCAGGACAGACCTCAGGAGTGGTAAAGCTCCTTCATCCTCCCTTCTCAGTGATTTTGGTCTGCCTATACAGCACCAACTGCTACCACAGCTGACACAAGTGAATAACTTTTAGTTCTACCCTGAGCTTCTGCTTTTATGCTAGTGATACAGCTCATGACACCAAGTAGAGTGAAAAGCAACTGAAGGATCGAAGAGTCCTCTTTGGCTTACAGTTCCTTTTAAAAATAAATTCTAGTACAATGCTTTCTGCATCATACCCCAAGACCTGGGAAAGGTCTCTTATTCTGTGGATATACCAGAATTAGAAGGACAAAACTCTAACATTCTTCATATCAACACGTCATCTCTGTATGAGCATGAGGCTGTGGAAGCAGGAATATTCTGAAGTTCAGTTTGGAGTTACAATTTTAATTTTTTGCAGAAACAACTTCAGAAGCTGCACTCGTGTTTGCTGGGCGTCTCTGTAGTACCCACTACTCTTCTAACTGCATGATTCCATGTAATCGCTGGTCAATTTTTCTAGGCTTGTTTTGTGACAATATATACTTCTGTTTGATTTTATGCTTTTTCTTAATTTCTTTGAAAACTTTTCTTTATCACTCATATACTTAAGCATTCAGATGAAAACAAGACATAAACACACAGGAGTCTCTATTCAGGTGCACTCCCCTCAAGTAGTGTTCCCTCAGGCAGCCTGAAATCTAATAATCAGTTTAACACTTTATTTTACTTCAAATTTTGGATTCAGACTAGTGCATTTGTTACCCTTATGCTATTAGAATTAATTAACCCCAACACCTACTTTCTCTTCTGTTTAAACCTCTGTGTTGCATAGTCCATTGTCACATTCGCTATTATGTCAATATGATGTCAACTCAAGCATGATACACATTCACTGCTAATGCATGTTTCAGTATATATGATAAATCTCCAGCTGTTTGCTTGTTGTATGCGCTCATCACAATCTGAAATAAGGCCAGTCTTGTACCATTAAAGTGCTTCCCTGGGAATTTTTGTTTGGCTGGAGGAGATCAGCAAAAGCATTAGTTGCAATAAAAGACTGTTCCCTATTGTTGCATGCAAAGTATCTCTTTAGAAGTGTCTGTCTTCATCTTTTCAAGCTTTCAATAGCACTGTAATGATCTTTGTCAAATGGAGATCCTGTTACTGTCAGCAGTAGAAAGCATATGCCCAAACAGAACAAAGGAGTAATTATTTTCACATTCCACTGATGATATCGAATGATAATATTTTTGCATAGTCTTAAAAAATTATCGTGTAGATGCTGTGGAAAAGATAGAAAATGGAATTACAATGAAATTTTTTGTGGTGGGAACTTAGACTCCTTACATATATCCCAGTTTTAAAATGCCTGTAAAATTCTGGATAATAACCCTTTGCCCATTATTGCTCACAGTGACACAAGACCCTCGATTCCTTCTTGTTTGCAGCCTTTCATATTTTAATGCTTGACTCTGATACTGAGTAAAGCTAAGAAGTTGTGCTTGATAGTTAGCTATAGCAGCCCCTAGATAAATCAATTTGTGTGTAAGTTTTTGTTGGATCATTAGTGGCTTAATAAAATTTATAAAAGGAACTAGGGAACTAGGGAATGAGTGGAGAAAGACAGAATAGAAAGAAAAAAATCTAAAATATTACAGATGAATAAAGAAGGAAGATAGTTGTAGTTTCTTCTTGCCTGAAAAACGCAAGATATGAACATGTCTCCCCTATCTGTACAGAAGGGAAATTAGACAACATACATCTGGAATATACATGGTATATAGGAGTGGAATGACAGCTGCCTATTTCTATTCACGGTAATATTTCTTAGTCTTCTTATTAATCTCCTACTACTGTGTATTTCTATATATTGCACGGGTGTGTCTCAAGTCCCGTATATACAAGCTTGAAGATACTTCAGGAGAGCCTATTAGCTCCTGGCTTCTCAGGTATTAGTCGGATTGCTTCTGAAGAAACATTGCTGGAGAATACCACGAGCAGTTTCAGGAGTGACCTGTTAAATTACATGTTCATACCAATATTTACAGAGAGTGTATTAATTATATATTAGGATGAATATAATGTATATGAAAGAGAGGAGATTTTGCTTTCTTCTCTATATATGCATGATCCCATTTTCAAAATGTACCAGGCAAATGAATTGGATACTTCCTTCTTTATTGATGGGTAGCAGAGGCAGCGTCTCTTACTGAACTTATTGAGACTGAAAAACTTAAGAAAGGGATCCACCTGAAACCAAAGATGTTTCTGAGCAGAAATACTACTTGCTTCTGTAAATAGACTCTCTCTCTAGAGTCTCTAATGATTTAGAATCATAGAATGTATTGGGTGGGAAGGGACCTTCAAAGATCATCTAGTCCAACCCCCTTGCAGTGAGCAGGGCCATCTTTACCAGAGCAGGTTGCTCAGAGCCCATCAAGCCTGACCTTGAATATCCCCAGGGATGGAGCCTCCACCACCTCTCTGGGCAACCCGTTCCAATGATCCACCACGCTCATATTGAAGAACTTTTTCCTAATATCCAATCTAAATCCCTTTTCTAGTTCAAAACCATTACCCTTTGTCCTGTTGCTACGTGCCCCTGTGAACAGGTCTTCCCCAGCTTTGTTATAGGCACCTTTCAGGTACTGGAAGGCTGCTTAAGGTCCCCCTGGAGCCTTCAATTCTCAAGGCCAAACAACCCCAACTCTCTCAGCCTGTCTTCATAAGAGAGATACTCTAGCCCTTTGATGATTTTTGTGGCCCTCCTCTGGACACACTCCAACAAATATATGTCCTTCTTGTGTTAAGGGCTCCAAAACTGGATGCAGTATTCTAGGTGAGGTCTAACCACAGCAGAGTAGAGGGGCAGAAACACCTCCCTTGATCTACTGGCCACACTTTTTTTCATGCAACCCATGATGCGGTAGGCCTTCTGGGCTGCAGATGCTCATGTCCAGCTTTTCATGCACTACTACCCCCAAGGAGATGATTTTTATAATCTAAGGAGATGATAAAATGTTTTTATGAACTAAACTGATTTTTATCATGTCCTTAGTGGTAGAAGAGGAATGTGGTACAGCAGTACCACTTTTCTACTGGAGCTGGGTCAACATTTGTCACTATGCTTAGAGATTTGGTTGCTGGAACTGAGAGTATGTCTACTCTTTCTTCTGGGACTGTGCTCTTCAGCCATGCTGCAACTATGAAGCTTCACGCCCTCCAGCCAGTGAAACTGGAAAATCATTCTCTTAACCTTCTTTAGTCTCAGCCAGTGCTTATCTTTCCCATGTTTAATAAAAACTCTGAGAATTACCTGAGAAGCATGTTCACCTTCCTTGTTCTTTTCCTCAAACTGTAGGATATTGCTGTCATGTTTCTTTTGGAGGGTCCTTCTGTCCTACACATTTATTTCATGAGAAGGAAATGGCATCACCTCAGGGCTTATTTATTTGAGTGCTGAAGGGAAGTGTAACTATTTTTTCTGTCTTCATCTTACTTCTTGAAAACTATCTGCCAAGTTCCAAAAAGCTGGGTTGGTGAAATGGTGTAAGGGAGCACAATGTAGTAATTGCCAAGAGTTTTTTCAACCCCTCGCATTCCTAATGACTGATCCACACTTCACGTGCACTGGCCTTTGTTTTCACTCCACAGATGGCAGTGATATTGACAATGAAGAAGGCAGTGCAGCTGTGAATGAAGAAAATGCCAAAGGAACAGGTCAGTAGTGTGGATTACTTTGAGACCACACTCAAATGTTTTCTGATTATCTGTATGAACGAAGGAGGAGGAAAGCTCTGCCTCTAACATACTTCCTTCTCTGATGTGTTTTTTGGTTTTTTTTTTGCCTTTTTTTTTTTTTTTCTCTGTGACAGATAAAGAGAGGAAAAGAGCAACACCAAGAACCAGAAGGGGACATGCCAGAGGGAGGACCAGGTGTGGTGGTGAGGAAAATGAGGATGAGGAAGATGGGACAAGGAGAGCTGGGCATCGCAGGCACAGAAACCGTAGAGGACGGGGACGAGAAACTGGAAATGAGGGTAATGATTCTGATGGGGACCCCACGAAAGCCAGGAAGAACCAGGCAAATCAGAAATCCAAGGAAGATGATGAAGATGAGGAAGATGAGAAAGACAGTAAAAGTGGGAAAAGTAAAAATGAGAAGAAACAAGACAAAAAGCCTGATAAGAAAGGGAAAAAAGAGAAGGCCAACAAGAAGAAAAAAGAAAAAAAGAAATCAGGATCTGGGTAATTAAGTAATTTTTTTTTTTTATATAAAACCATGGCTATCTTACATAAAACCTGCTTTCATTTAGAGCTGTGAAATACCAAAAGTCAGTATGACTCCCTTACTCATTATAGCCCAATCAGATCTAATAGATCTTTGTCCATTAGTTTTTTCCTGCAGTGAGGAAATGTTGTCTGAGTGAAATGGAAGACTTCCACAAAACTGTATCCACTTTGGTGGAACAAAGTCAGGGGTTTATCACAGGTCCAAGGTGGGATCTTCGGAAATGACCAGCCAGGTCCTTCTGGGACTGCCGATATCCTGTGGATTTGGTCAGACAGAACAGGAACTCAAGCCAGGTTCACCCTTATGGTGGTTAAATACCCTAAGTTTATGAGCCATTCTCTGGAGAAAGTGACGAAGGAAGTAAATGACAGAGAGAGGTGATAACAGGCGAGATCTCTCCTGGTTTTTCCTTTCCCCAAAAATTAAATCCCCCAAACCCCCAGATAATAACCCTCCAAAAACAGAAGTCTGGTTTTATTTCCAATGCAGAACAAAATTCTTAACACTTTTCACAAGACTGAATTCTTGTTTCCTGTCCAGGTTTGCTCCAGCTTTTTATATAAGATCAGTGCCAAAATTTCAAGAACCCAAAACCAAAGACTGAGATGGAGTTTTCCAGTTTGTCTCCCCCTCACTCCCTCTGAAATATTAACATTCCCTTTTCCAAAGTATTTAAAGCAACCTAGAGCCTTTGGGAGCCTTTGGAAGACACCACTGACATGGAGCACTTCAGAAAATTATTTTTGTATTTTTCTGCCATCCTTGCTTTCTCTTACTTCCTGTCCCTTCTTGAGCTATTGAAAGGAAACAACCTCTGGGAATGGTGTATAATGGAACAAGTAGATTTAGGCATGCTTATCTCAGTGGAGAGGGAGAGACATTCCCCTTCCCCTATTCAGCACTTGCTACAGCTGTTTATGTTCCCAAAGGCATCACTGGAGAACACAGTAGGAGTCAAAGGAAAGAAAAAAATACAGTAAGACATGCTGTTGCATTAATTTGTCCATGATCCCATTTCAATATACTTCTACTTAATTTCCCTTTCCTACAAGAATGCCTGAAATCTTTCTCTGTGCTGGCTCTTCACTGTGGTGAAGAGTGTAACATTTGAGGAAAAACTGAGGATACTCTGGAGGATATCTCAAGAACATTAATTTTTTAGTCTTTTAGGAGACCAATTGACAAGGTTGCAGAGTAATAAATATAATATTTTAAAGGATTTTTAAAAGAAAAACAAAAATAATGTAAGAAAAAGGGAAAACCTGCTGGTTATCAGTTCAGCTGTGATTCAGATAAAGGATTTTCAAGCCTTCAGGATGGAAGAAAAAGGTGTCAGCACAGAAATACAGCCTGCCTAGCAAGTCCATGAGGATCTATCACAACAAATGCTACTTACTCTTTAAAAGTATATCTTGCTGATGTAGTTTTTTAATTGCCAAGACAATTCGGCATGAAAAAGCATGATAAGAGTAGAATAAGAAGTGAGAAAGAAAAAGGAAATGAAAAAAACAAACCAAACCAAAAAGTAAAATTAAATGTGATATTATTCCACAGGGACTTAATATTGACCTTTTTGACAAGGTCACAGTACAAATCAGTAAAATATAGTGCTGTTACCCTCTTCCTCACCCCTTCTTTTCACCTAAATCAGGAAACCCTCTTTATGCCCTAATTATTCTGCATGAAGGTCATAAAGAAATCCTAGGTGAATTCTGTGTTGGTTTTTTGTTGTTGTTGTTATTTTGGGGTGGTTTTTTTTTAACCTGATTATTTTGATCTCTGTGAATTTGTGGTAGTGAGTTTCACAGAGTAATTCCATGGCAAAAGGAGTTATTTCTTGGTGTTTTAAATCTTCTACTCTTAGATATTTTTAGTTGTTGATATGCTTGATTCTTACCTGATAATGAGAGTGTCAGGAGGGCCTGCTGTACACTGTGCACAATCATTATCCCCAAAATATTAATGGTAAATTGTTCCTTATAGTCTCACTGTGAAGATCTGTGACATTCCTAGGTTGAAAAGCTATTTTGTTCTTTACTGGCTTGTGTGATTATGACTGACTGGTCTGGTCTTTGATAGAAAGAGTATGCAGTTGCTTGAGCTACAGATCCTCAGAGGAGGAGGAATGTTATATTCTGCATAGCCTGTGCATTTTCTGTTTTTACTGTATAGGTCTATATGTGAGCAAATCAACTGATTTTTTAGTAGGGTTACTCAAGAATATAAAGCTTATGCAGAAGTCCAGAGGTATATGAAAGATTAAGACAGTATAGGAACTGTATCTTTTTGCTAACAAGAAAATTGCTGAACAGTACTAAGTGCCAGTGTGTGTTATGGGGATTATCAATAAACAACTGCATTTTAGCAGAAAACTAGTAAGAAATATAGTAAAATTTATTCACTAGTCACTCTGGATTCTTAAAGTCCTATCAATCTTTTAACTGAAAACACTGAAGCTCCAAGAAAACACTTTCATCTTAATTTTTACCTTTATAAAATGGCTTTTACAAAAATAATGAGAAAAGCAGATTACATCCATAAAGAGGAGATGAAAATGAAACTAAAACCAAAACATAGTTGTATAATATGGACATAAAACCAAAACACAGATTAACAGTATGAACAAGTTGATTATATGTGTGATTTAAGGAAGTGCCATTGATTTCAAGACTACTGACTTAGGGAAAAATGCATTGTATGCACTGAATTGGAGCCAAGGGAGATGGTAGCTTGATGTGAAATTATTTAGTGATGCTGTATGCTCTGTGTTAGCCTGAAGATCACAGTGAACCTTTCTAGCCTTCAAATGTATGAATTGCAACCTTTCATGAAAAGCTAAGACTTTCAGTTGCAGAAGACAAAATTCTGATTTCCTGGCTTGAATCTCATAGTATTCAACCACTTGAGCTAAAGGAAAAATCTGCTGTAACTGCATATAGTAAACACTCTAGAAAATACTGATTTACTAAAGATGCTTAGAAATTTGCAATTTTTATTATTTTGCTGGTTACAAATGAAATTGAGAAATTATATATAAGATGTGTTTGCAAAGACAAATAAGGCAGAAGTGGGCAGTGGGCACAACAGCTAATGCTATCCCTACTTTACCTCTTGAGTTCTGCTCAGCTTCCTCTCCTCAGTAAGTTCACTTGTTAACACCCACCACTCATATTTCCCACCACTCTCACTGCAGTTTCGTAATACTTCATATTTCAGTTTTGCATAACCCAGCAGTCTTCAGAAGTCAAAGGAATTCCTCAATATTTGGCATGTTGCTGCCTGCTTTGTAAAATGTGAAGCAGATGATTGTAACAACTAAGGAGTTAAAGCTCTCCCAAAATCAAACTCCTTTAATCCTTCTGTTCTTCTTAAATACATGACTCTTTTTGCATTATAATGCCTCAGAATTTTATGCACAAATCTTTTTGTTGACCTTCATCTGTTTGACTGAAGTTTTCATGTAGTTCTTCTCTTGCTCATCTCAATACATGCATAACAGTAAGTATGTCTGGTGTTCAGTAGCAGTCTTTCTTTCTGTAGATTTATATTTTCTGTGGCACTGTTTTTTTACCACATGAAGTCTGATATTTTGTGGCTGATGGATTCAGATTTCTAATGTGACAGTCTTTTCAATAAATAGCTTTTGAGTCTTTAACAGCAGGGCATCTGACAAGTAGGAGAACCTCTTTCTTTTCTTTGCTAACTTATTCCTGTATGTCTGAAATTTTTAAACTGATCCCCTGTAGCTTTGGCTATAATTATACGTATTTCATGAAAACTAAATGTAAATGAGCAATGATAAATTTGTATTTTGCTGTAATACAAAAATAATTTTTCTTTTTTTTTAATTTGATATTTATTTTTTTTTAAACTCTTAATAAATATTCTTGCTGATAAACTCTTTTGCCCTTTATGTCACACAAATAAACCCTTTGACCTTTTTGTCACACAAAACTTTAACTACAGCTATGTTCTATTTTGGTAGAATAAAATGTTTATAATTCTTTAATCATTCAGAGGATAAAAACTATACAATTAGGTGACTTAGCTAACGAATCATTCAGCCCTGACATCAGATTTTGAATATCAAACTCTCCGAAAGGTGAATTATAAGTAAAACAGCCTGAAAACTGCACAGTCTATAAACTCTGAATGAACTGTTCCCACAACAAACTAGAAAACTATTTAAAAAACCCCTGCAGTTTATTTTCAAACCTTCCAAACAGAAAAAAAAGGCAAAATAAAGCACAAGAAAAAACAAATAGAAATGCATCAAAGTATTTTTATGAAGAGCTCACTTAGTGGCAGTCATTACTGCCACATTTTTAGGGCAGGAGGTCAGAGTCTGATGGGGTTTTTTTAAATATAATTTTCCTGTTTGCTGAAATAAGAAGAGGAAAAACCTGTTGCTAATAATTTCCTACATGCCGTTATATGAGATGTAAGATTACTCACAGAAAATGTTTTAGGAAAGCAGACATTGCCTTAATCAGTAGTACTTCCCAAAGATACTACAAACCTGTGCATGGATAAGAAGTTTAGATTACAGACACAACACATCTGGAGATGCAATTGCTATTGCATCTTCTTACTTTGAGAGTTGGGATACATCACAGCCTTGCTACAGTGAATCTTTCCCATGTCCGAAATGTTCCTGCCTTGATCAGTAGACGGGCTGTCATCTGGTGATTAAACTTGTCTTTGCTGTGACTGTTGTGTCTCTTCCCTCTCCTGTGGCACACTGAAGTAGGGTGAACAAGTTCATTTTTATGACTGCAGTTTTAATGTCCTCACTTGCCTGCTGTGAGTTTGGGTTGGATTCTTAGGAGGCTGGTGACACAATCAGTGGCTGTCAGACACCTCCCCAAGAGTGCTGCCCACTCTCTATGGGATGCTCTGGGTGCAGTGCTGGTTAAGCTGTGACTTTGCTCTTTTGGGCAGGCTTTGCCTCTCATACTAAAATAAATAACAAGTCTAAGGGAACTGTGTCTTCCCTTCTGTGCAACAATGAAGGCATTTATCTAGATCTCAAAGTTAATAAGAACTAACACCAAGTATGTGCTTCAGTGAAAACTTATGTCCTTTCTGAGTTTTGGTGATGGTTTTTGTTCCTGCTCTTGTTTGAAGCTCTGATTCTGACTCCGAGGAGGAGCCAATTACAGAGGAGGAATTGGCTAAGCTGAAAGAAGAGGTGGAAGAAAAAAAGAAACTAATCGCCACTCTACGAAACAAGCCATGGAAGATGAAAAAGAAGTTGTCTGTCTTAAAGTATGGTTTGATTTCTGTAGTGAATATCTGCCATTCCACTTTGCAATCCGCACTGTTTTTCTGAACTTCACTTTAGACCTACTGACACAATTAACTCAAAACATCTCCAATCTCTCTTTCACACTAGATGTCTTCAGAAAAAATGGATGTAAATGGCACTGCTTTCTTTTTGCTGTAGACCTGAAATCAAATATGAAAAATTCATATCTTTTTCTTCTTTAAGTTTCCACTACAACCCTCTGCAAAATCTTTCATTTTCTTTAGTCAGGTTAATGTTGGTAAATTCTTCCACTGATGTGCTTAATATTTCATTGAACAAAAATGATGCAATTTCAGGAATACCTCAAGATTACTGGGGTGGGAAGATAGGATTTATCTTTCTATTCTAACTTTTTGGAAATAAATACAGGATTTTTTTTAATTTATGAAAAAGCAAACTGATTGTAATCTGAGTTCACTTTTTCATGCATTTTTAGATATGCCACATATAAAACTATTTTGCCCCAACAAACCTATCATTATATTTTCATTAAAAAGTAAATTTTAATTTACAGTTAAATTTCCACCAAGCACAAGAAACTAGGTTAAAGACAGAGATCTTTGTTCCTTTGCCAAAACTGTTATGCTCCTTAGTTTTGCACATCTCATTCACTGCAGTATTGCCCAAACACCAACAAAGCATATGGTCATATTTTGTCAGACACATCTAACAGAGAAAAGATGGTCTCTCCTGCAGATAGTTTTTGATATGGATGGAAAACACAGACATAAAGGTAGGAGAGAGCATATGAAATGTGGTGTGGAAAGTGTACAAATTTTTCCTTCTAGAAGGTAAAGTCATTTTGGGAAGAATACAGTTACAAAGAGAAAATGGAAGGTATATTGTGAAAGAAGGGTACATGGAAGGGGTAAAAGAGAACAGTATATAAGAGATGTAAAGTGGAAGCATTGTGAAGGTTAGAAAAATTTTAGAAAAAATAGATGAGCAGATTAGATAATCAGATAGCAATTACTTTTTTTTGCATAGTCTATAATTGAAGGATCCTCATGTATATAAAATGAAAATTTGTTGTATTCTTACTATGAACACAGCTGCTATTTTTATAACTATTCTTCTATCCTAGCATTACTAGCAACTTCTAGTTCCTAGGAAACTTCCTAGCCTGTTATGGCCCTTGGACTATTACCCATTATTGCTCCTCCTTGTTGGTGGTGATGAAGCACACAGTCCAAGGGCAATCAAAAGAGACTTCACGTCCTTGGGAAAGTTGGTGAGAGAAGCCAGAGCAGAGGTAATCTCTTTGTCTATCCTTCTAGATGCAGGCAATAATATTGGAAGAAACAGACATACCCAGTCTATTAATACATGGCTCCGTGACCATGTGATGTGACCAACAGAATTTGGGATTTTTTTATAATTGGATGATTTACATGGCACCAGGCCTGCTGGCATCAGATGGATTTCTTCTCTCTCAAAGAGGGAAGTAGGTTTTTGCTCATGAGCTAGCAGAGACTCATTAATAGAGTTTTAGACTAGACTTGAAGTGGGGAAAGGCATAACATCAAAAGGCTTGCTTTTGATACGATGTGGGACAACGTGCTAGCAAGGGCCCTCAGCCTTTAGTTCTCTGATTTGCTGAGTACACTGGAGCACACTGAAGTCTTACAGAGAAAAGCCAGGGGCTCCTGAGGTAGTAGGAGCCACCAGGGAAACACTGGGGAAATATCTAAAAGAAATTAAGGGGTATTCCTCTAAGAATGTGACATGGTCAACAGCCCAGGAAGTGCATCTGCACCAATGCACACAGCATAGGCAACAAACAAGGGGACCTGGAAGCCATTGTGTTGCTAGAAAGCTATGACTTGGTTGCTGTTACTGAAACTTGGTGGGACAAGTCCCATTACTGGAGTGCAGCTATCAATGGTTACAGGTGGTTCAGAAGGGACAGGTGAGGAAGGAGGGGCAGAGATGTTGCCCTCTACATCAAAAAAATGGATAGAGTGAGAAGAGCTGTCTCTGAAGAATAGCCACAAACAGGTTGAAAGCTTATGGGTAGGAATTACAGACCAAGACAACAAAGGGAACCTTGTGGTTGACATTTACTACAGGCTGTCCAGTCAAGCAAAGCCTACTGTCAAAGCCTTCTTACTCCAGATGCAGGATGCTTAACACTTACAGGCTCTTGTCCTGCTGTGGGACTTCAACCACCCCAACATCTGCTGGAAAAGTAGCACAGCCAGCTGTAGGCAATCCAGGAGACTCCTGCAGTGCATAGAGGATAACTTCTTAAGCCAGCTAATAGACAGGCCTACCAGAGGGGTTGTGTTACTAGTCAGTGATGTCAGGATTGGAAGCAGCCTGGGCTGCAGTGAGCACACACTAGTGGGGTTCACAGTCCTGAGGGATGTGGGACAGGCAAAGAATAAAGTCAGGACCCTGAATTTTATGAATGCAAAATTCCAGCTTTTTGAGGAATTAGTCAGTGGGACCACCCTAGGAAACTGCCCTCAAGGACAAAGGAGAAAAACAGAGACAGCAGAACTTTGAGGATGCTTTTGATAGAGTGCAAGAGCTCTTGATCCTCAGGTGTAGGAAATCAAGAAAGGACAGAAAGAAACCAGCATGGATTATTCAAGACCTGCTGGTGAAACTAGAGGGCAAGCAGGAAATGCACAGGCAGTGGAAGCAGGGACAGGTGTCCTGGGAAGAGTATAGGGACGCTGCGCGGTTGTGTAGGGGTGGTGTCAGGAAGGCCAAGGTGCAACTGGAGCTGAACACAAAGAATAATAAGGGCTTCTACAGGTATGTCAACCAGAAAAAGAAGGTCAAAGAAAGTGTACCTGCCTGATGAACAAAACTTATGAATTTGTAACAACACACAAGGAGAAGGCTGAGGTACTCAATGACTATTTTTAACCTCAGTTTTCACTGGCAACCTCTCTTTCCACACCTCTTCAGTGACTGGACCTTAAGGTAGGGAGTGGGAGAGCAAAGTCCCTCTGACTATAAGAGAAGATCAGGTTCACCTAAGGAACCTGAACATACATAAATCTATGGGACCCAAGGAGGTGCATCCCAGAGTCCTGAGGGAACTTGCTGATGTAGTTTCTAAGCCACTCTCCATAAGATTCAAAAAGTCATGGCAGTCAGGTGAAGTCCCTGGTGACTGGAAAAATTGAAACATTGCACCCATTTTTAAAAAGGGTAGAAAGGAGGATGCTGGGAACTATCGACCTGTCAGCCTCACCTCTGTACCTAGGAATACCATGGAACAGATCCTCCTAGAAGCTAAGCTAAGGCACATGGAGGACCCAGAGGTGATTTGAGACAGCCAGCATGGCTTCAGTAAGGGCAAGTCCTGCCTGACCAACCTAATGGCCTTCTATGGTGGAGTGACTACATCAGTGGATAAGGGAAGAGCAGTGGATGTCATCTATCTGGACTTCTGTAAGGCCTTTGACACGATCCCCAACAACATCCTTCTCTCTAAATTGGAGAGCTATGGATTTGATGGGTGGACTATTCAGTGGATGAGGAAGTGGTTGGATGGTCACATCCAGAGGGTAGTGGTCAACAGGTCAGTGTCCATACAGAGATCAGTGATGAGTAGTGTCACTCAGGGGTCCATAGTGGGACCAGTACTATTTAGAGTGGTGTGGTTGACACACCTGAGGGATGGGATGCCATCCAGAGGGACCTGGACAAACTCAAGAACTGGGCCCATGTGAATGTCACGAGGTTCAACAAGGCCAAATACAAGGTTCTGCATCTGGGTTGGATGAACCCCCAGTATCAGTACAGGCTGGGGGATGAAGACATTGAGATCAGCCCTGCAGAGAAGGACTTGGAGGTACTGGTGGATTAAAAGCTGGACATGAGCTGGCAATAAGGGCTTGCAACCCAGAAGGCCAACCATATCCTGAGCTGCATCAAAAGAAGTGTGGCCAGCAGTTCAAGGGAGGTGATTCTACCCCTCTACTCTGCTCTGCTCTGGTGAGACCCCACCTGCAGTACTGCATCCAGCTCTGGAGTCCTCAGTACAAGAAAAGCGTAGACCTGTTGGAGGAGGTCCAGAGGAGGGCCACAGAAATGATCAGAGGAGTGGAACACCTCTCCCTGAAGAAAGGCTGAGAGAGTTGGGGTTGTTCAGCGAGGAGAAGACAAGGCTCCAGGAAGACCTTATTGAAGCCTCGCAGGGGACCTATAAGAAAGATGGGTACAAAGCTTTTAGCAGGGCCTGTATTGGAAGAGGGCCAAGAAATTGGAAAAGGGGTCATGGTTTTAAACTAAAAGAGGGTAGGTTTAGACTAGATATAAGGAAGATATTTTTCACAATGAGGGTGGTGAAACACTGGAACAGGTTGCCCTGAGAGGTGGTAGAAGCCCCATTCTTGGAAACATTCAAGGTCAGGCTGGACGAGGCTCTGAGCAACATGATTTATTTGAAGATGTCCCTTGACACTGCAGGGGGGTTGTACTAGATGACCTTAAAGGCCTCTTCCAACCCAAACCATTCTATGATTTTATTAATAACATCGGGTGGTTATTTCAGTCTGTTTATATCACATTAGTAAAATAGATGTGCTTGTGTAAAACTGGCAAAGATATTTGCAGTGAGAGTAAAAAGTGATTAACTATAGATAGAAGACTCTAAATCAGACGTGTGATTTTTCACATGATGTGTTTTAGCTTAGCCACTAGTTGTGGGTTTGAATCAGGCTCTTCAATGAATGTCTGCAGCCTATTTCATCCAGGTCAGAGGAGTTGGAGTATTAATCCTTTCTGACCTTAAGAATCTATGTTACTATGAAATGTTTGTAATTGGATGAGTGCTTCTAGCCAACCTCAGTGAATGTTAAGTTGCTGTTCTCTAAGGTGGGTTTTCTCAATTAAGCCAATAGTGAGTTTTCAAAATACCACTCTTGTTATCTGCCTTTTTATCTTAACAATTTCTTTATTAATAGTCAGGGTGAAGTCGTCCTTGTACATTTAGCATGAG